GAAGAAAATATATTGTGCTATATAATCTTTTCTTCATTTTCATGCGACTTGAACAGTTCTTCTCGCTTTCTCGATATAGCACCTTCTATAGCTCAGAGGTCGATATATTATTATATATATTATATATATTATATTTATATATTGATAAATTAAGAAATACATTAATATATTTTATATTTCTTCCACCGTATTGAATTGATGCACAATTCAGAATACGGTTCAATAAGGGACTGCGCACAATGAAAGGAATAGAGAACAGAAAATAAGAATTTCAACCTATCAAAAACTGTGTATTCCATAATACATGATTTCTGATAGGTTAAAATTCTTATTTTCTTATTTTCTGTTCCCTATGCCTTTCATTGTGCGCAGTCTCTAAGTGTGTAACCCATGACAGAGAGGAACCTGACAAAAACCATGTCGGCCTTTTTCCTGTTACCGAATCGCACGTATACTACCGCCAGTACATTCATTTTCAGTTTGAGAACTACGTGACTACATACATTTTCTAACACTATCGATAAAATCGTATTGTCGAAAGTAGATTGATTTGTCTCTATATTAAATCCTCAGGATAGAAACGTGCCGACCGATAGGAGAGATAGTTTAATGGAACGAAAAAATTTTTATTTCGCATCTCCTACATATGTAAAAATAAAAGTTGTATTTTAATAAATTAAAAATTTAAAATTTAAACAATTTAGTGAATTTTGTCTTATATATTAGGTGTTGGAATTAATTCGTAGCGTTTTTAATGAAAGAATGTTATTTATTTCACATGAGCATTAAAAAATACATTAATGAAAGTACTTCCCATCACTTGTAAAACGCTACGAATTAATTCCAACACCTAATATAATATTTATTTTATAATATCTTATAAAATTGAAAAGTGTTTATTTATGCAAATTTTCAGCCCGGTTTTATCAAACATAATTACTAGTATGTATCATATTCTTTATAATTACTAACAATTATAGAGACTTTTAATAAATTCAAACTTTTCTAAACAGATATTGTCAATTTAAAGTATAATTTAGCAAAAAACATTATAGAGGCCCTCCACCACCCCCGCCAATTTTATCGGCGGTCCTCTTTTCTTTGTATAAATATACTCACTCATAAAAAAAAAACCAGCTACTAATAAATTTAGCCTCGTTTTTGCAGGTAAGTGTTATTTTTCATTTATTTTTATTCTTATCTAATTATTTTATTGTATTTCGTTAATGAAATCGCAATAACTTTTTTAATATTATTCTTTTTTAATATTATTCTTTTTTAATATTATTGTAATCCTTTATGCAATTCAATATTACAATTATAATAATTATTTACAAAACAATATACAATTATAAATGCTGTTCAATAAAAATGATCAATCTAATAAAAATGATAATATAGAAGCATAATTAAAAAAATTTTAGTAATGTGGGATTATACGAAAACGTCGAAAATACATATCATAAATTTTTTTGAACTAATGTTTAATGAAATATTAATAAACGCAGAAGAAATACTAATAACAATTAGATTGTATTTACTATTAATTAATAATTCGTGAATATAAAATTTAATAATATCACGATAAAAAGTCATTAATATATTTATAACAGCACTTTCATCGTATTCAAGATACTTATCTCAATAATTTCATCATATCGAAGTTCTTCCGCCTTGTATGGTTAGTATCCGATATAAAGAAGTATAATTTTCAGTGGAGAGCGAACATAATGTATTTTGATTTTCAAGTCAAATTCACAAAATCCATTTGCAAAGAAAAGCAATCCATCAAATATCAGTTCTATCAGATACATCAGACTAGTTAAAGGAGGGTGTAATCCCAAATTTTGCAGACAACTTAAAATAGTAATAATTTTGGTAGCCAATTACAATTACCATTTTTATCACATCTTTAATACAATATTAAAATTCGCGAAAAAATATGTTCTGCCATACATCACTAAAATAATCTTTTATTAAAAATAAATGAATAAAATGATTTCCTTATGTGGAAAAGTGGTTACGAAGGAATATATTTAATAATAACAAAATACATGCATTATTGTAATTTTTTATATGTATGAGTACAAAAGTTTCTCGGGTACCAACTGATCGAAATGTGCCGAACCCAATAATAACGGGATTTTAAAGAATTAATTTTATACTGAAAAATTTATTATATAAAATTTAACAATTCTTTATTTTTCAAAAATTGCAATTATTAATATCCCGTTAATATGAGAGTACACATTCGACTTATCTTAAATTGTTTGTATTCATACACATTTTTAATTCAACTTTGTAATTATGATAATATTGTTAAAAGACTATAAAGAATTTTGAAAAAAATTATGTAAATCAACAAAAATCAATATTCATATATATCAATATTAAATATAACCTCATAGTATCTGCATGTATTTTATCATAGAAAA